TTTGACTTCTCGTTTCAACCATTCTGCCTGAAACCGTCCCCTCTTTATCGGACCGGGTTCGCTTGATCCAATCCACAAAAGGATCGGTCATCGTTTTTCTTTGCTTTTCAGGTATGAATTTCCTAGAGCTATTACCTCGTTTTGGTATCCTTGACTTGTCTAAACTCATTCTTTATTTGTCACTTTCCTCTGCCTACTCTTGACTCAATTGCTAGAGACCTTATAGTTTTATTAACAATAATAATGACACAACACAATAAATTTCACCAGATTCTATTAAATAGTGACCACGAATCCCTGTATGTTGTCAGAGTACAGTTTGTATAAAATTTATTCACACTAGCCGATTATCGGTCCAAAGATCTGGAAACTAGCACAATATGATGTTATCAGTCAATTTAAAAGATAGTGTAGTCACTACCCAATCAAGCACAGTTTAGGTTGATTTAAAATCAAAAACAAAAAATATATATTGACACAATATGAATGTATATATAAAAAAAACGTATGTGTCTTGTACTTTTAGTCGGTCGCAGTACAATAGTCGAACCTGTCTTTTAAAGAAAAAGCTTTCCCTGCTTGGTGCTGCACCAAACAGACAAAACTTTGAAGGCAGTAATTTTCTCAAGTGGGCGTCTATTGCACCCACCGAGTATTGTGTTACCTATCTGCCTTCGGACTGCCCCAGCTAGACCTACTAAAATCCTCAGGGCAGTCACTTTTCCCAAAAACGTATTATGTTTCAATCCACACCAATGAGTCACGCTCTTTCTAATTTAGACTTAGTGTCGCGAATATCCGAGTTCGGATCTGTTTTGTATTAGTCTGGTTCTTTTTGAAAGGCAAGTTACCAGTGCAGTCACTGATACCTAGCCTGTTTATTAATAACCTAATACCTCTCGCTTTTTAGTCTTTCTTTCGTTTACCTAAGTCCTTAATAAAATAATACCCCTCCGGATTGGTACAAATAGGACCCTTCCGGACTGTCAGAATTTGGACCCCTCCGGATTGGTACCCCTCCGGATTGGCACCCCTCCTAGTTAGTTAATAGTAGACCCCTCCGGATTTGAACCCCTCCGAATTAGCAACTATAAGACCCTTCCGGATTCGGACCCCTCTGACTTTGAAAAATTTCGACCCCTCCGGATTGGGAGCCCTTAGCTCTGTCAAAGTAGCTTTTTGTAGTTTTCTTAATTTCAGCTTATACCCCTCCGGATTCGTTCTGCGTTGCTTTTATGCTGTTTGAATTAACTGGGAAGGGTATAGGGTCCTTTCCTTGACCCCTCCGGATTGAAGTTAAGGCACTTATTTGACAATTCACACTAACGGTGAAGGGTCTTATCACTTGCCTAATTTCGACTCTATTATGGTTGTCTTGTGCCTTCAGCCCTCCCTTTTTGTCTAGAACTGTCCTAAGTTACTTAGTTCAATCGCTATCAACTTTTGGTAGGGGTATAAGGGTTTTTCAGAAAAATTTATAAAACGTGAAGAGTGTACCCCTCCGGATTTGTGTAATTTGCTAAAAACAATCTCAAAAAATTTCCTCGCTCGCTTTTTCGAGTAATTCTCTTTCCTACTAGTAAGTTCAGCTAATTTCTGATCTAATGGTACCAAGATTGACTCGATATGCTCTGTAGTTCCAAAGTTATTAACCAAAACGTCTTTTTTCCAAACTCAAAAATTTTCTCTCTTATAGGTTCCGCCCAACTTTTTCCGCAAATCTGGTCCTTTCGACCTAAAAATTATTGATCTGAGCTCACAAGGCCTATACTCTTCTAGTTCAATGCAAAAGACCCGATCTAAAACGCTTTTGTAGAAAAAATTTGCGAAAAACTATGCTACCTGGACCCCTCCGGATTGATGAATCCACCAAATCAAACACGTTATGTTCGATTTCTCTGCAACCCGGAAAGCTTTCGGGTAGCGGGTTTTAAAACTCGTAGATTCACTAGTGGACGTTGTCTGAACAACTATTTTTACTGTCCTAACTCAAAGATTTCAAAAAATTTTCTGATTTTATAGTGTTTCTTACTATCAAAAATTGGGAAAATTTGGTTTTTGGTACCAAACTAGTTCCAACCACTTCCGAACTAAAGTTAACCGGTTCTACTTATTACAGTAGTGCTGTTACGATGTAACACACTAACTTAGCGCTTATTTCCGTTTCAAAAAATATCGATATCTCAAAAATCGCGACTTGTGGGGGGATCAAAATATCGCTATTTCGACCCTAAAAACCGGTCTGTTTTCGTTGTTTTTCACTGAAAAACGATATAAGACTATTAATATAGGCTATATAAATAATAATATTAGTAATACTATACCCCTCCGGGTTTGTTTATTATCCGAATTAAGGTGCTTAACTCGGATATTCGCAGTTCGGTGAAGGGTCACTACAGTGCAGCACTGTCGAGCCCCCCACAGATTACTATCTTACTTTTTGTACCAAAAGGGATACAAAACTTGTTAACGATACCCAACAGTCGATTGTTGTTGTCGTTGAGCCCCTTCTTGTTGCTCCTTGAACTGCTTGCCGGATCGGTCTTCACCCAAGACCCTTCCGAATTGAGCGCAAATCAGCTGACCCTTCCGGATTGAGCGCAATTTATCATTAACGTGCTTAAATGCTCAAATAACCCTACAGTACAAGCCTCACAAACGGGCCTCAAAATTGATCGTAACAATCCTGACTGATATAAATGCCTGTAACAACAATATATCTATCAACAACAAACGGGGGGGTTGAATCACATCTTGTCTGGGGGGATGATTTCTACTGATTTTTTACTTTTTTACTGTTTTTGGTTTTTTCGGTTATTTTTTTATGTTTTTTGTTTTTCTTGGGTACTATACTACTTTTTGTTTGGTTTTACTTATATCTTTAAGTGTTTTTGGTCACCAACCACTCAGGGGACGAGGGGACGGCCGATCCCCCCACCCTTCCTGGTTCGTGAATTTTCGGTCTTAACTAGGTTAAAAAACTATTCACGGCAATCCGGAAGGCCTCCGCGTTCCGAACTACCCTTCCGCCCCGGCGGTTTAGGCCTATTAAGGGCGTTGATGTGAGCATCCGCTCGGCGCGGAGTGCTCGTTAACGGTTCTGCCGGTCATGATGTTAAAAAAGAATAACACCCAGGAGCGCCATAAAAACATACATGTAACATTCGCCCGGAAGATACATATCGACGGATAACAAAACTAAGTCTTAAGACGACTGGCTAGCGTCTAAACAGAGCTTTGCATGTTTTTCACCGTCTCTACCAAGCCAGTACTTTTAGGTGGTCTTTCTTACATCAGGCTGACAAAAACGCTACTGCTCTCCGGCTTCGACCAGAACGCTCAAATTAACTGAATTACATGCAAAATTAGTGAGCTCATGGCTGGGTCTCAGTATCCCCAGACCACGAGGTCACTCCTAAAAACAGGGCTACTACTTATCATATTACTATTGTTTTTGTTCAGTAGATAAAAATCATCATCTCCATCGAAGATGGATCAACCCTTTCCCCCAACTCCTAGCACCTCATCCTTGTCAAAACTAATCAAAATATCAGTTAAATTCAAGTCAGGACATGACAGGATGCTAAAAGTTTATGTGAGTTAATAAAAGTTTCCGTCCCGAGACCCTTCCGGATTCTTGAATCCGCCGAATCAAGCTCCTTACTCTTGATTTCTTGCTAATCCGGAAGGCTGGTTCTCACCCTTCACCGTTGTTGGCAACGGCCTTGCAACTATTGTAGCAGCACAATAGTTGCAACTCGGAACGTTCTCTGCTATTCTGTAGTTCGTTGTCGTTTTCCAATCTCGATTTTCGTACTGTTCGCAATCGCAGATAAAAGTTGTTCTGTTTTTCACTCGCTTTTTGTTAAAATGGCCGTTTCAGCATTTCTCAGAAATGTGACGTCATCATTCGAATTTTTGAAAATTTAAAATACTAGAATATTCTAGCCCTCACCGTTTGGCTAAACGTTCCAATAACGTCGCTAATCCTTCGAAATCATCAACTCGGAAGGCTTACTGCTCAAAATTCGAATCCTGCATAAATTGCATTTTGGCCATTCTGGTCGAATGTCACATTCACATCGAAATGGGGGATAAATGAGCGGAGAGCTACCACACTGACTCATCTTTTCCTTTTTGCGTTGTTACTAACCCAAAGTGGGGATGTTGAAAAAAACCCTGGTCCTATTGAAACCATTGAAACAGTCTACGGCATCTGCTCAAAAAATTGTGCAAATCTTAAATTTGTTCATTTGAATTTTCAAAGTATTATTAGAAAACGGATGCAAAGAAAAATTTTTTTTGATGATATGAGGGAAAATACAATTATAGGAATTTCAGAAACGTGGCTTAAAAAAGAAGATAGTGACAATTTATGGAATCTCACCCTAGAACGCATGCGATGTTCAGATATGATAGGCAATCAGCGGTAAAAAAGAAAGGCAGTGGCGTTCTCTTATATATACCAGTCAAATTGGCTCCGAAATTGAGGCCTGATTTAAGCTTATTTGATAAAGAAAAATACGAGTCAGTGTGGGTTGAGTGCAAATCTACATTTAACATTTCCAGTAAAGAAAAAATGTTAGCTAATTTGTGTTATAATCCAAAAAAATTTTTTGATGATATGAGGGAAAATACAATTATAGGAATTTCAGAAACGTGGCTTAAAAAAGAAGATAGTGACAATTTATGGAATCTCACCCTAGAACGCATGCGATGTTCAGATATGATAGGCAATCAGCGGTAAAAAAGAAAGGCGGTGGCGTTCTCTTATATATACCAGTCAAATTGGCTCCGAAATTGAGGCCTGATTTAAGCTTATTTGATAAAGAAAAATACGAGTCAGTGTGGGTTGAGTGCAAATCTACATTTAACATTTCCAGTAAAGAAAAAATGTTAGCTAATTTGTGTTATAATCCAAGCAGATCAAACTTTAATAATTTTTTGGAACAATTAACGCCTAACATAGATAATGCATTTTCAGTTTCTGATAAAATTACATTTCTGGGTGATTAGAACATAAATTATCTAGATAGCAAAGAAAACGAAAATTTAGATTCTATAATTATTCCATATGGATTGAAGGTTTTTTGTCCAAAGGATTAGACCAGAATTAGTTCTTCAACTAAAACTCATATCGATTACATTATCAGTGACTATGAAACAAACGGTATTGAATTTTGTTTTGATACACCTTGTAAAACCGACCATTTTGCTTCATTTATTTTGACGGATATAAAATGCGGCAAAAGTTAACCGAGGGTATTTTCGACTTTCAATGAGAAAAAAACTATCAGAAAAATGCATTTTGCAATACACTCTCCGCTCTTACTTGGTATCTCTTATATCAATGTACAGACGCACAAAACATGTTCTCGATGATGATTTATTAAACTTCTAGTGCTCTTCAGCAACATGCTCCCTAACGAAAAAAAATTTGCTCGTAATTTTAAACCAAAAAATGTGTTGAAAACGGAATGGTTCGATGAAAAATGCCAGCAATTGTTGATTAAGAAACAGAATTCGCTCAGATCATATCGCAGTCAAAGCACAAGCTATAATTGGTCAAATCACCAGTTTTTACGTAATCAAATGAGCCAATTGATTAGCAGTATACAACTCGATCATTCAAAAAATTGTTTTTCACTTCTCAGCAAAAGTGGAAATATATTAACCAAGTTTAAATGGCTACAATCGAATTACAGCTCTACGAAGTTCCTTCAGTGAAATGATAACCCAAGACAAAAAAATTGCCAATCATTTTAATTATATTTTTGCAAACTGGCGAATTTTTTGGCGCTAAAATGCCTCAGAATTGCAACAAATCAACATCTGAATCTACATCTTTCCATTTTCAACACATCACAGTGAAGCAATGCTTTGATATAGTTCGAAAAATTAATGTCAGAAATTCTCTCGGACCTTGTACCGTACCTGCTTGGGCAATCATTGACGGCCAGGTCAATCAGTTATAGTTCCACATTTAACTTTTGTCATAAATACTTGCTTAGATGAGAACATTTACCCGATCGAACTAAAAAAAGCACACGTAACCGCCTTGTTTAAAAAAGATGACCCAATGGACGCAAAAAATTATCGGCCAATATCAATAACTTGTGCTTTTTCTAAAATTTTTGAAAAAAATTTGCATGCCCAAATAACTGAATATCTAGACAAATTTCAAATAATGACACCATTTCAATTCGGATTTCGCAAAAACATTTCAACACAAGATGCTCTTGTTTATGTGACAAAAATTATTCAAATCAAAAAGATTCAAAAAAAATTGTACATGCAGCTTTATTAGATCTGTCCAAGGCTTTTGATTCTATTTCGCATGAAGTTTTAATTGAAAAAATGCTTTCTCTCGGTTTTTCAAATTGAGCAAATGCTTTAGTTGCTAGCTTCCTAAACAAACGTATTCAACGAGTAAACGTCAATGGAATCTTTTCAGACTGGCTTCAAAACAAACGAGGTGTCCCACAGGGAACGGTACTTGGTCCGTTGTTGTTCAATTTATATGTTAATGACATACAAGAGCGATTATATGAAGATTGTACTTTAGTTCAATATGCTGACGACTGTATGGTTTTTTCCTCTTCTATCATCTCCGAGGATGCTTTGAATCATTGCAAAAATCACTCAATAATCTAACGGAATTTTATGCAGAGAACCAATTGAATCTGAATGCTTCTAAATCGGAATTTATAACATTTTGTCAAAAAAATGATAGCAAAAATGTGGATACTGATAAATTAGTAATTAGTGGGGATTATGTAGCCAAAAAATTAGAATGCAAATATTTAGGCCTAATTCTTGATTCAAGTTTATCTTTTCATGCTCAAATCAAAACAATTCTCCGAAAAATGGCCCAAGGGTTCAAAACTATTGATACAATTGGACAACAACTGCCGACATTATCATTAGTTGCCTGGCTTCCTTGTCTTGTTTTTATCACATTTAGACTATTCAGCAAAATTTTTACAACAAATTAATGCTACTTTGATGCTATCTCTAGAGAAACAGTTGAGCTTGGCGCTAAAAAGAACATATTTCAGATCGAAACTTAAATCTTCTTCCCTTCTTCGCATTAGCAAATCGTTCATTGGAATCGAGAAAAGAATTTATCCTACAAACAAAAAGAAGTCTTTTGAAAATACACTGAGATTACCGACTGCCAATTATAGGCTCAACGAGAGAACGAAACAAATTATTTTCGACAAACATTGTTCGACTGCTTCTCTACAAAAATCATTTTTTCATTTGACTTCTAAAAAATGGAATTCACTGCCCATAATTTTGCGCAATTTAAAAAAATCGAAAAAAGGATTCAAGAAAAATTTGAAAGAATTTTACGTGAGTGAATTGAGAAACAATCCTTTATGTACTAATACAAATACGTGGCGTGATTTCCGTTTTTGCTAGTTCTATATGTTTTAATTCAGTTTAATTTTTCACACATTGTTTGAAAGAGAAACTGTATATACTCTGTATATACGCTGTATGTTTGGACTATCTGTAAAATTGTTTGTAACGTTTGAATACCAGCTTGTTCCTAATTCTTAAATCTAATGTTTTTATAGTATCCGAAACTTCATATACTTTAATCAACCAATTTTTGAACTGTAACCGATTTTGTTTTTTTTTGTTTTTCTTATAGCTTGTTTTCTGATGTTTTGTTTTTGTTTGATGTAACCAATGAATCTATAACCAATTTTATTATATACACTTTGCTACACTGATGCCTCGGCTTTTTATTGTATAGTAACTCAAGTGTTCTTTCTTCTTCTTCTTCATCTTGGCAGTGATGGACCATTTTTTGTGGTTTCTCGCCGCAGCCTTAAAAAGTTTCTGTAACAGTCGCTTACTTAAGTCACAAATGAGGCTAAGAAAAATGGTCCCTATAACTTTTTTCTCAAGAGTCAGGGACACTATCTCTTGTGTTTTTGTACCTCATTCAGCCGGAGCCAATTCGGTTCACTTGCGACTTGAGACTTCAAACCGTGTTACAGCTTAAAGGCTACTACCAAAATACCACCCCACCCTAGAAAAAAGAACGCCCCCATGGTCAGCTCTCTAAATACCCAAAACACGCGAACGCCTTAACAACAGGGTTAGGAGCTTAGGCATACAGTTGTTTTTTTTTCTGGACAGTGGACCTTTGATCCATTTCAGATGGATCAACCTAAAAACTCGCCTTATCTCATTATAATCACTTAGAAAAATCCTTTTGAGAAATTAAATTAAGTACTCACATAATGACATATTACTCACATCTAGAAATAATTAAATCATAATCGTACAGCAACTTTAGGATAACTTAAGTAATTAAGTTTAAATCAAGAAGTTTTTGAATAAGTAATTCTAGCTCAAGAAGTTTTATTCTCTGGACCTTTGGGCAGCCTCGGCTGTCCACTTTCCCACTAAAGTGCCATTCTAGTCCAGTCAAACGCAATTTTTAACTTCTCTTCTTGGACTCTCAACCTCTACCAGGAACAAGATAACTTCACTCGCATCGAATTGTTTTGGTGAAGCAATGCTTTGATATAGTTCGAAAAATCAATGTCAGAAATTCTTTCGGACCTTGTACCGTACCTGCTTGGGCAATCATTGACGGCCAGGTCAATCAGTTATAGTTCCATATTTAACTTTTGTCATAAATACTTGCTTAGATGAGAACATTTACCCGATCAAACTAAAAAAAGCACACGTAACCGCCTTGTTTAAAAAAGATGACCCAATGGACGCAACAAATTATCGGCCAATATCAATAAATTGTGCTTTTTTTAAAATTTTTGAAAAAATTTTGCATGCCCAAATAACTGAACATCTAGACAAATTTCAAATAATGACACCATTTCAATTCGGATTTCGCAAAAACATTTCAACACAAGATGCTCTTGTTTATGTGACAAAAATTTTTCAAATCAAAAAGATTCAAAAAAAATTGTACATGCAGCTTTATTAGATCTGTCCAAGGCTTTTGATTCTATTTCGCATGAAGTTTTAATTGAAAAAATGCTTTCTCTCGGTTTTTCAAATTGAGCAAATGCTTTAATTGCTAGCTTCCTAAGAAAACGTATTCAACGAGTAAACGTCACCGGAATCTTTTCAGACTGGCTTCAAAACAAACGAGGTGTCCCACAGGGAACGGTACTTGGTCCGTTGTTGTTCAAATTATATGTTAATGACATACAAGAGCGATTATATGAAGATTGTACTTTAGTTCAATATGCTGACGACTGTATGGTTTTTTCCTCTTCTATCATCTCCGTGGATGCTTTGAATCAATTGCAAAAATCACTCAATAATCTAACGGAATTTTTTGCAGAGAACCAATTGAATCTGAATGCTTCTAAATCGGAATTTATAACATTTTGTCAAAAAAATGATAGCAAAAATGTGAATACTGATAAATTAGTAATTAGTGGGCATTATGTAGCCAAAAAATCAGAATGCAAATATTTAGGCCTAATTCTTGATTCAAATTTATCTTTTCATGCTCAAAACAAAACAATTCTCCGAAAAATGGCCCAAGGGTTTAAAACTATTGATACAATTGGACAACAACTGCCGACATTATCATTAGTTGCCTTGCTTCATTGTCTTGTTTTATCACATTTAGATTATTCAGCAAATTTTTTACAACAAACTAATGCTACTTTGATGCTATCTCTAGAGAAACAGTTGAGCTTGGCGCTAAAAAGAACATATTTCAGATCGAAATTTAAATCTTCTTCCCTTCTTCGCATTAGCAAATCGTTCATTGGAATCGAGAAAAGAATTTATCCTACAAACAAAAAGAAGGCTTTTGAAAATACACTGAGACTACCGACTGCCAATTATAGGCTCAGCGAAAGAACGAAACAAATTATTTTTGACAAACATTGTTCGACTGCTTCTCTACAAAAATCATTTTTTCATTTGACTTCTAAAAAATGGAATTCACTGCCCATAATTTTGCGCAATTTAGAAAAATCGAAAACAGGATTCAAGAAAAATTTGAAAGAATTTTACGTGAGTGAATTGAGAAACAATCCTTTATGTACTAATACAA